GTGTAACAGCAACAGGAGACCTCTGGCATTCTGCTTCATGGACGTTCATTTATAATTCATCGGTTTTGACTGGGAACACACGTGTAATGGGAGCAAAGTATATCTTGGAGGATTACGGGGCGAGGACAAGAGGGGAAGATGAGCGGATGGCGAAAACATAACAAAGAAAGAAAGACTGAAAGAGGTCTGGTGGGGAGAGATTGTTCCAGACTGTTTGCTCTCCAGAGGCTAATGTAGATCCACAAAGAGCGAGGCTGAGAAGGGAACCAAACTTACTTCTTTTCACTTTTTTTCCACCTGGAATGAGTGGCAGGGGTAGAACTATATCTTCAAAAGCAAGAAACTAAATGTAAATGCTTGGGCATACATGTCTCTGTGCATCACCGTGCTCAGAGAGAGGGCCTTCTGCCCCCTTTGTGGATGAAATGGAATGGGAAAAAAAGTGAGAGAGTGTGAGGGAGATAGGAAGGGTGAGTCACTGATTTCTGTTGGCTTTGCTGCTATCCAGCGAGTTGCCGTGCCAAGCAACCAGCAATAACTAGAGTGACTATAACCTGTGGCCCGCAGCATCCCACCTGTATGCCTCTGCAGAAACTAAACCACCTGCCCCATCCAGCAGTCTCCTGAGGTCTCATTTATAAACATAACATCCGCTCAGAAAGAGTGGAAAGTTGTGTGCAGCGTTGCCCAGACAAATGCCAAGCTTTAGAAAAAGTAAGCAGGCAAACTATAGCGTTGCTTTATGCAAACTCTGGTGCACTGAGCTCAAGGCTAGATTTGACTGCTATGGTAAAACCTACAATAATCCATCATTCTTCCTCTGCTCTGTCCAATTTGTACAGCAAAAAAACAGGCCTGAATATTGTTGTGTTGTTCGTTGATTATACCCATCCATTCATGTTTTTAACGTCTCATCCGTCGAGGGCTGCAGGGAGGTTGAAGCCTATTCCAGTTGACACTGACCACCGGTCATCAGTCCATGGGCTCCATCAATTCAATTCAATTTTATTTATAAAGCGCCAAATCACAACACCTTGAGCTTTATTCTCTAAGGCAGGGGTGCCCAATCCCAGTGCTCGGTTTTAGATCTCACCGTGGGTCAACACACCTGAATGAAATGATTAGTTCATTACGAGGCTTCTGGAGAACTTCAAGACATGTTGAGTCATTTAGCCATTTAAATCAGCTGTGTTGAATCAAGGATTCATCTAAAACCTGCAGGACACCAGCACTCGAGGCCTGGAGTTCGACACCTATGCTCTAAGGAAAGGACCCCAATAGAGAGAAAACTCCAGCAATCAGACGACCCCTATGAGCAAGCACTTGGTGACAGTGGGAAGGAAAAACTCCCCATCTAACAGGAAGAAACTATTAGCAGCCCTAAATAGAAACTTTGTCAAAAATTGTATGCATAATTGGAATGTTCAAATCCAGAACCTTGCAACAGTGCAATCCACTGCATCGCCATCCCACTCTCTTACATTTACCACTTTATTTTTGTGATTGAAAATACAGATATTCTGGTCACGATATCTGTAGATGTCTTCTTGTTCCACTGCTAATATTTTCCTGAGTGCAAAACATATAGTATCAGTAGAAAAGTTGAATATGCTGATGTGTGAGATGCATTCAGGTTCTGCTTTGGCAAACACCAACTCCATCTTTAAACTGACCCAGCCTTCACACTGAGGCTCGCTGATATTCTCAGGCTGCAGCACAGTGATGAAACAGCAGTTTCATCACAAAGGTGGAGCTCAGGTCAGGAGCAAAAGGAGAAGCCTGCTTGTTGCTTCTCTCTACATTCAAAAGGGTTGCGGTCAGGGGTTAAAGTAGGATTCAGGAGGTGGGGAAACCCTAAGATTGGGTGCAGCAGTGCAGCTTGGGGAAAAGAATGTCTTAGACTCGAGTCACACAATAATGTATTTTGTGAGCTCCAAGAGATCTTTCTTTGTGCACAGGCTGTGATCAGCTGACCTGTGCTTTTACTCTAGTATTCACTGCTATCTGTAGATTCAGACGACGGAGTTTAAGTCACAAAAACGTTGGATTCCATCAGGTAATGATCCAATATCTGATTTTAAAACTCTCCCACTACATGTCAGATTTAAGTTTCCATTTTATAAAAATTTCATTTGGCTAACGTACTTAGCTTTTTGTAGCAGTCATTTCCTAATCTCTCATTACACATTAAGAGTTTTCTTTACATTTCACATTAACTGGATATACAAACTGTGCAGAGACAGCTTGTGTGTTTGATATTTATCAAGCTGCATTTCAAATTACATGCCACTTAAAAATAAAAACAAAAAACTTACTCTGGTCATGTTAAATCCCCTTCTGCAGTGCTAGTGGGACTGCAACTTTATTTACATCTGCACCATGAACGCCCCGAAGGGATGAGGAGAAAGGGATGTGTTAAAGGTGTAAACGTACCGTGGGACATCATTATTTTCTTATTACTGAGAAAGTGTCTCCATGCCCCCACTGGAAGCAACACCAGGCTGCGGCACCTGACATGTTCACTCATTCAGTGTTATGCATTAACCTGCCTATCAGATTAAAGTGCTCATTAAATGAAAATGCCAGAATACCATTCCAGATTGTTCGACTTTATTCTCTGGTTATAGTGCTTGAATCCCTCCTCAGCATCAGACCCGAGGATGAAAACAGCCTCTGAGTTCAAACTTACTTGATGCACTCTATCACTTGCACTTAACTTCATCCTTGTCCCGAGAAATCAAAGTCATGATAGACGGTTATCATTTTCAGACAGTGGAAAGAATCCAACGTGGATATACAAGTGACCAGAGCAGGGCTTTAAAGAAACAAGTGGATGTGCACTTGAAGCACTGCACAAGGAAAAACCACAAAATCACCTCTTATGAACTGAAACACATCAGAAGCATTTTTTTTCCTAAAAACAGGGCAAGGCCAAATGTAATATAATAATATTTCAGACAGTTTTTGAGACTTCTACATCATCCAGTACAGCACTTCAGAGTCACACTGCTAGCGATCGAAGATTTAAGTAAATTTGACAAGCTCGACGCAAGAGAAGATTGATTGACAATGGTCTATAGCCAATCAGGATGCAGAACATAATGCGCTGTGGGGGAAAAAAGCATGCAAAACTGCACAAAAAAAATCCACGAAACAGCAAGGCCACAAAAGGTGAACTGCAATATAGTGAGGGAGCACTGTAAATAAAACAAGGTGACAGTCAACACAAAAAGCTTCAGACATTTTCATAGTGTATATTTTTGACCTATTTTTGTACTTAACTTAAGTGGCTAGAAACAAATCTAAGTATTGATTCTATTGCGCTATAATTGGATTGATCTGCCCACGTATAGGCTACTGCTTTATTCTCATATATTATACACAACACATCCTACAAATTCGCCCATGTGAGCTTCATGACGTCCCACCCAAACCTATGACATGTCCGTACCAACCCTGCATCACTGCTCCTCAGCATCCGCCTTGACAAATCACTCCCCAGTTTATAAAGAACATATTTTGTAGAGTATGATGAGCTCAGAGCCTAGATTGCAAACTCTAACTATACTCTGCTGGTATAATGAATGTTTTCTAACTTGAGTTCTCTGACTGAAGTTCATTAGTGTGCCCACCACCCACCACCACCACCATTCTCTGTCATCCCTGTTTTGCTGAGCTTGGTGACTCTTTGTTAGGAGTGACAAGCTCACAGCCTAGAACCACATATCAACACTGAACTAATTAGGGAGCTGGCTGACTGGACTGAAATAATTAAGATTTTAACATAGATACTTGTCTTTAACCCTGTAAAGTTAGAGTTAGGGTTACTCCTCTTTAACCTTCAGCTTGAACCCTAGGCTATTAGAATATCCAGTGTTTTTTGCAAGGCTCAGACTTCTCAGAGGCAGGTAGATTTTTCTTTAGTTTATCTTTTGTCTAATGTGTGTAGATTGATGTGCACTGCATGCAACAGACACGAATCTCATGCTTAGCAAGACCTTTATACCAGACCTCTCCCTTTCTGCATATTCGTGCGTAAGTCTCCACTCAGCATGCATATCTGCTGACAAGTGTAAGCACAATTTATTTTTATAGAATAAACACTCCCTACAGGGAAGCAGGAAAGCCAGAATAATGTTCAAATCATTTTATTTGTAAGCTAATGCATTCTGCACATCCCACATGAATGAACTGTAATGAGATAATTTGAGTATTATTGTGGATTACCGTGTATGCTTTCCCGTTGGGGGTGTTTTACTGGGAGTGTTACTTTGAGATTGTCCTACGTATCCTAATTAAGCCAGACAGTTTGTGCATTTAGAAGACAAAGTGTAGCATCTTGACTGCCATTCTTCCTAATTGTCGCACTTTTTTTTTGCCCATTATCTCTTTTTTTTGCATGCAAAAAAGCATGTAAGCACTTTGTTCTTAGCTAACAATGAGTGCACTTTTTTGCGATTTATCCATTTTCTCCACAGTGAACCCTGTTAGTATATTTAGGACAATGAAAAATACAATTGAATTATTTATTGCCTTTTTTAAGGCATAAAGATCCTGCAATAGCACAGACGAGCCCCGTGAGCAAGCAGTTGGCGACAGTGGGAAGGAAAAACTCCCTTTTAACAGGAAGAAACCTCCTGCAGAAAAGGCTTAGGGAGGGGCGGGGCCATCTGCTGCGACTGGTTGTGGATTGAGCAAAGGACAGTAACAGTAACTAACGATTACATAGACCGTCCTGTCAAGCAACAGTAGTGAGTGCTTCTAACTGTATGATCCCTTTTTAGTACTTTTTAACAGTGCTACTCACTCTGGTGTCCCTTAGATAGACACTGACAAGGGAGACCCCAAAGACCTGGAAGCTCTGACCAACAACTGAACCCGATCGCAACGCTGCTGAACCGTAAAGCCGGCAGTCAATGAGCCACGGTCAGGCAAGCAGGCAAATAAATACAATTAGTGTAAATTAGCTGTGACAATTAGCAGAAGCTACCTCAGCTCACCTTTGTGTCCTCGCGGAGCCACACAAGTCCCTCGCCGATGATGCTGTACATTCATCTTCAAAGCTCCTAATGACTTTCTCTGCGAGGTACATAATACAAAGCCAAGGTCAAGCTGTGTTGCTGACAGGAGTGCGATGAATAGGAATAAACAGGGACAGGTTGGGTTACCTTGCAGCCACAGGAGACACTCGCACGCCCGCTCGTGTCTTTACAGCCACCGTGTCCATCTTTGTCTCGTCTGCTCCAGTTCCTTTGGCTTTGAAGGGCACGCCTGCTTGCGTGTGAGAGATTAGAAGTGTGTGCGTTGATGTCTTTGTCCTGGAGGCGTGAGGAGACAGAGGGCAGCGGAGTCATGCGGACTTCAACTCTGGGAGTGTGTGCGTGTGCGTGTGGAGACAGGGAGAGAATAGAGGCACTCGTCTGTATAATGGAGCGAGAGCTCAGCCAGCTTCTAGGAGCTTTCATCTGTCTGCTGCAGCACCAAGACACGCACGCACGCACTATTTCTCTTGGCCCACAGACCTAACCAGACCAGCTGTAATTTGTCATTTGGCTGCGATCTGGCCCGTCAGCGCTGGGTTACTTTCAGCTCGTGGCTCTATGGTAATCCCTCCCTTTGAAGGCCGGCCAATCCAATCCCATGGCTGACATTGCCAAAACGGACTTCACTATTGTGACCTTTACAGCGCACCAGCTAATCTTTCTTCAACGAGCACGGGGGAGAAAGTGAAAAAGGGAGGGAAGCTGGCAATGAGTTCAACAAGCTTACTTGTCCTCCTTAGCGCTGTCTCCTCCATCCTATAGTCTGAATTTTTTTCTCCTCACAAGAAAAACATCCCCCACAACATACGCTGCCTAGTCAGTTGGTGTTTTGTTTTTTAAAATATGAAGGAAAAAAGTCATGGTTGACATTTAGCGAAGCCTCATGTTTCTGCCTCTGGCGTGGGGCAGAGGTGGCGTGCGCTGTGTTCTCGTTCCCACCACCACCTGGCACATTTACAAACAGACTCGTCGGTTAAAGGTTTTTCACACCTAGTTGGTTCAAAGCGCATAGCTCTCCGGTTTTACTGCTAATGTGGCATCTCGGGCGAAATGAGAAGTCAAGAATCAAACATAGAACTTGCTGAGAGGTAGGATTTGCACTTCTTCTGCAATCCACCTGGAGCAAAACACCCCGGATGTAGACTATGATTAGAAACTTCATTCAAAGCAAAATCCCGTGAGAAGGTGATTTCTGGCACGATATACCGAAACAGATGCATGGAGTTTGTTCAAAAAAAGCTCGAAAACAGAAGTAAATGTTAAATAAAGTTCTTATAAATCATATCAAGAACAAAATCAATATGTCCCTCTGATCAGTATTGCTGTGCGAGCAATGAGGTTTCTGGGATTACTTCCCCGTGGATTTTTTGAGCATCACGCATATTTCCCGCACTTTGGTGAATTGGTATCCACTAATTTTCTTTTCCTTTTCTGTCCCACATTCATAATATAAATTCCTTTATCTACTTAAAGGAAGTGGGGAGGAGTAAATGTGAGTGTGTTAAATTTTGATAAATTAATTTGTAACATTTTTAAAAGTTCTGGTGTGTTTCGCGAAGAACATCAGTCCTATTTTTCCAACTGTGTAGACTGACTTTTAGACAGTGTACTTCCAACTGAAACACATTAGTTTCTACATTGTGGTGTTTTAATGAGGCACTCAAGTCGATGTACATGTACAAACAGACTGCTTTTATGCAGTAAATACAGTAAATGCTGCTAGATCTCAGTTCCTGATTTCCATGATGTAACTCTTTCTGTCATCTGCCCACCTTCAGTCTGTGTTTGACCTTCTCTTTCATCCCCCCTTGTGCTCTAGTTCTTTCATCTTTCCTCTCTCCTTACCTGTTATTGCAGTAAATTGGGCGATCGTGGCTCAAGAGTTGGGAGTTCGCCTTGTAATCGGAAGGTTGCCGGTTCGAGCCCCGGCTTGGACAGTCTCGGTCGTTGTGTCCTTGGGCAAGACACTTCACCCGTTGCCTACTGCTGGTGGTCAGAGGGCCCGGTGGTGCCAGTGTCCGGCAGCCTCGCCTCTGTCAGTGTGCCCCAGGGTGGCTGTGGCTACAATGTAGCTGCCATCACCAGTGTGTGGATGTGTGTGTGAATGGGTGGATGACTGGATATGTAAAGCGCTTTGGGGTCCTTAGGGACTAGTAAAGCGCTATATAAATACAGGCCATTTAAATTATCTAGAACCAATGGCCAGTTATAAAATTTGAAACAAATTTGACTTGGGACTCTGGGCTATATAAATTAATTTAACTTGTATTCATAAATGTGATGTTAAAAATTCAGATGAGCTAGTTAATCATTGGATGTAACGTGAACCTCAGGTAATCAGTGACTCTACAGTGAAGCCTCGTGAAACAGATTATGAAATGAAATGATTGATTATTATCATTATTACTATGAAAACGGTCAAAAATAGCACACGGTTTCAAAATTGAGGGTTATGAGTGGTTTGAATATTGGCTAACAACTTCTCAACCACAACTCTGTAGAGGACTCACCATTCCTCGTCACATCTTGGATTTTCCAACCAAGATGGCGACAGCAGAAACCCCTGATTTTTGGCCTTCAAAATAGGACTTCAGAAACTAGGTATAACCAGTTGCTGTTTATGCCTCTTTCAAACACCATTGGCTACTAATCTCAGCTAATTCTTCTTTAACTCAGCTGTTTTAAATGTGCAAACGTTTGCAAATGATAAGATTACTTACTGGCCAAACCAACTCTCTAACCATGTCTGAACTCTCGAACTCTGTTGGTCCGATAAAAAGATGTCTCCACAAGATGTTCACCCATTGGATGCTTTCTGGTGTATGTGTTTTTGCATGTTTTTGAAGCACTGTGGGACTCAAACTAGTCAGTCATAATCAGTGTTGGGACCAGAGATGGGCAGTAACTGTAATCCGATTACTTTTTTCGAGTAACGAGTAAAGTAAGGTATTACTATTGCAAAAACAGTAATTAGATTACCGTTACTTTCCCGTAGGAACGCTGCGTTACTGCGTTACTAAAACCGTGATTTTTTTGCGAGAATGTCTCATGACAGTGACGTAAGCAAGTGCGACGTTTGTGACAACAGCTGTGTGCAGATCAACAGTGGATCATATATCGAGTACTGGAGAGAGTATGAGCGTGCAGCGTTTAAGTATTGACCTTACTTTAAGTTTGATTCCATAAAAAGTGACAAAAACATTAGTGTCCGTTGTGCATGGGAAGAAAACTTCTTTTTACAGCGAAAAAAAACCCCTAAACTTCCAAGCAAGCTCCAAGTGCGCTACCACGTAATGGGAAATTCACAGAGAAACTGCCGTATCCTTCCACTGACCGCTGCGGCACACCTGCACCAGGGTAAACCTCCGCCTACCC